AGCTACTATAGCATAAGAGAGTATTTTGAAGATAGAATTCTAAAATAATAAAATTCATAAATTATACAACTCTTATGATAAATAATAAATAAAATATTATTTCCTCTCTCCCAAACAAACTGTGCTGCGCCCGTCAGGGTCCATAATTGTTACTATATTTAAATTGATATCACCTATGCATTTACATTGTGGAAGCAATAAAGTATTGAGTATTGAGTATTGACTTGATCCATTACTGGATCGTCTCTACAACCTCCTCCATGGGCGTCGGCGTCGACGCAATATTTACGTCGGGGGTAGCCTGGGTCGGCAGGCTAGACCCCGGCGTTTGCCAAGAAGAGCGGGGAGGCTTGCAGCCCCCCTTCCCCATCATGTGATTGGCGGGCTTTTTGCCCGCCTCACACACCGGGTAGTGGGGGGCGGCAGAGCACTCTGCCGCCTTGTGCCCGGGTTGACCGCAGCGGAAGCATAATCCGCTGCAGTCAAAACAGCTCTCGCACTTGGTGCGAGTGTGTCCCGCGGCTAGGCACTTGAAGCACCTCAGTGCCCGGGTTGACCGCAGCGGAAGCATAATCCGCTGCAGTCAAAACAGCTCTCGCACTTGGTGCGAGTGTGTCCCGCGGCTAGGCACTTGAAGCACCTCATCGGCCTCGCGGCCAGAACACCGTCTTAACACCGTCCGTGTCGGCAAACATTCCCCGCAACTTCTCGGCGAACTTGTCGGCCGTCTTCTCGCCTTCAGCCCCAGGGAACTCGAATACTCGAGCTCCCGTCTGGGCGCGGCGCAACCTCATCCCTGCAGTCCCGAGTTCAGTGGCGAGACCGGGACGGGCCCCTTTAAAGAGGGCCGCGTATGTGAGCCCGCCACTGGTCGCCTCCGGCGACAGCGTGACTACTACAGCCGCGGTTTTGGGCGGCTGCAGCTTCCGCGGCCTCTTAGTAGAGGCCGTTGTCACCGGTGGTGAAGGCTGGGCTTGGGCCGCTTTCTGAGCAGCCCTTCTAGCCCGCCTTCGGGACTTCTTTGAGCCCCTCGCATCTTGCCAACCCTCGTTGGAGGGAGCAGGTGCGGAGGGGCCCGGCAGGGATGTCGGAGTGGGGAGCGGAGGGAAAGCCACTCCACTCCTCGGCGCCGCTTTAGGCCTCGTCTTCGCCGCTTCCTCTTCTGCTAGAATATTAGCCGCTGGCGATAATCCTCTCCTCCAAGTGGACAAGGAGGAAACAGTGCCATCGCCAGCGTTTCCAGGGTGCACCACGGGGAGGTTTTCTAGCCTAGCACCTCTTCCAAACCTAAACCTAACCTAACCTAACCTTCGGGGGTGTCTGCATTGCACCTGGCTGAAACCTTCTACCCGGAGGACTCATTAGAAACTGATAGCCAACACCATACGGACACCCGGGATCTCGCACGGCGGGTAAACGATCGGGTCCATGTTGAGGTGCATGACCCGCCGTTTACAACGAGCGAGATGATGACCGCGGTGTCCAGCTTCAACCCGAAGAAGGCGCCAGGTGCAGATGGCTTCACGGCGGACATCTGTCGTCAGGCCATTCTCCAGGACCCTGATACCTTCCTTGCCCTGGCCAACAAGTGCCTCACCCTAGGCCACTTCCCCAAAAAGTGGAAGGAGGCCACAGTCGTGGTGTTGAGGAAGCCGGGCAAGGAGGACTATCAGAGCGCCAAATCATACAGGCCCATCGGCCTATTGCCTGTATTGGGAAAAGTCCTGGAGAAAATGGTAGTAGCAAGGCTCCAGTGGCACCTGGTACAGAGGCTCAGTACTCGCCAGTATGGCTTCATGCCCCAGAGGAGCACCGAGGACGCCCTCTATACCCTAGTAAACCAAATCAAAGCGGAAATCAAGCTGAAAAAGTTGGTCACGCTCGTCTCACTGGATATAGAGGGCGCCTTCGACAGTGCATGGTGGCCGGCCATTAGGGTCAGACTGTCTGAGGAAGGTTGCCCGGTCAATATCAGGCGTCTGCTGGACAGCTACCTAGATGACAGATGCGTAAAGCTAAGGTACGCCGGGGCGGAACATCGCCGAGAAACCCAAAAGGGCAGCGTCCAAGGGTCCATAAGAGGACCCATCTTATGGAATGTCCTCCTAGACCCCCTCCTGAAGGGTCTGTACGAACGGGGCGTCACCTGCCAAGCGTTTGCGGATGACGTGGTTCTGCTGTTCGCGGAGTATACTGCGTTAGAGGTGCAGCGACATGCCAATGCCGCCCTAGACTTTGTTCAGGGGTGGGGTGTCAAAAACAAATTAAAATTCGCGCCACATAAGACCTGCGCCATGCTGCTGACCAACAAGCTCAAGTATGACACCCCGCTCCTGAGCATAGGCGGGGTCGACATTGGCATGTCCCGAGAGCTGAAGATTTTGGGGCTTACTATAGACGACAAGCTGACGTTTAACACCCATGTCAGCGTCTGTAGGAAGGCCCTAAATATTTACAAGCAGCTCTCGAGAACGGCGAAAATAAGCTGGGGGCTGCACCCGGAGGTCGTACGCATCATATATACCGCAGCAGTAGAACCGGTCATCACGTATGCGGCAGCCGCATATGCTCCCGCCGTTGAGAAGCTGGGTGTCCGCAAGCTCCTCGACACTGTGCAAAGAGGATTCGCTCAGAAGATCTGCAAATCGTACCGCACTGTCTCCCTAAACTTGGCCCTACTACTGGCCGGGTTACTACCTCTGGACCTTCGTATAAAAGAAGCAGCCGCTCTCTACGAAGCGCGCAAAACGTCGACTCGGCTAGTGCTGGGGGACCGGGAGGTAGAACGTGCGGTGCAATTTGCGGAAATACCACATCCGGCTCTGCGTATGGACTTGAGGTTCCAGAGTCTGGAGGACCAAAGCCTGGTAGACCAACACAACGTGCAGTCGCTACGTATCTTCACAGATGGCAGCAAGCTCCAGGGCAAGGTCGGCGCCGCGCTGTCCATATGGGACAGCCGGGCCGAAGTGCGGAGCCGAAAACTGGGCTTGCCAGCGTACTGCACAGTCTACCAGGCTGAGCTCTTGGCCATACACAGAGCTTCGAGCGAAATCCTCAGTTGCAGTGCGGGGAGCTGCGGCATCTACAGCGACTCGAGGGCGGCGCTGGAGACGGTGACGAACCCCGGAGCCCTGCATCCTCTCGCAATCCAGGCGCGTCGAAACCTCAGCGAGGCCTTGACTCAGGGCAAAGATGTAACTTTGTTCTGGATCAAGGCCCACGCCGGCATCGACGGTAACGAGCGCGCCGACCACTTGGCTAAGGAGGCGGCACTCTCGAGTCGGAGGAAGCCCGACTACGACCTGTGCCCGGTTTCATTCGTCAAGCGACAGATACGCAGCGACTCGCTCGACGAATGGAACCGGAGATAATAGTCGAGCCACACGGCCTCCGTCACGAGAGTGTTCTTCCCAGACGCGAAAGATGCGTACTGCCTGGTGCGGAAGATCCGGCCCCAAGGCGTTGCTACGCAGATACTAACGGGACATGGGGGGTTCTCCCAATACTTACATCGCATCAGGTGTCGGGAGAGCCCGTCATGTATCTGCGACCCAGCTAAGGACGAAGACGTCCTGCACATTATCTTTGACTGCCCCGTATTCGGGGCTAAACGATACGAAGCTGAGCAACGCCTTGGTGAAAGTAGATATACAGAGAAAAACGGCACACCTAGTTTTAGCAAATACAGCAACAAGGCCGCACTTTCTGAAGTTCGCAATTCAAATATGCGAAGAAGTTATAAATAGGAACAAATAAAAAGTTAGCAAGAAAAGAAAAGGAACAAACACGAAATCGAGCATACAAAAGACTCTTGTTATGCAAGAGGTTGACAGTTTTAATAAAAAAAAAAAAAAAAAACCTTCGGGGGTGGGGTGTCAGGAACAAGCTGAAATTTGCACCGCAGAAAACAAAAGCCATGATAATAACAAGGAAGCTGAAATTTGACACCCCATTGCTGAGCATGGGTGGGGTCGGCATTGAGATGTCCAAAGAAATCAAGATGCTGGGTGTAACAATTGACGACAAACTTACCTTCAACAACCATGCGGCGCAAGTATGCAAAAAAGCATTAAACATATATAAAAAGCTCGCAACCGCCGCAAAGGTAAGCTGGGGCCTTCACCCTGAGGTCATTCGAGCGATATATGTGGCGGCAGTGGAACCCGTCATTATGTACGCGGCAAGTGCCTGGGCAGGGGAAACGAAGAAGCTCGGAGTGCGTAAGCAGTTGGACACGGTCCAGAGAGGTTTCGCCCAGAAAATAACAAAGGCCTACAGAACCGTCTCCATGAATGCGGCCCTGCTGCTGGCTGGGTTGCTCCCGCTTGACCTCAGAATTCAGGAAGCAGCCACCCTGTACGAGGCAAAGCGCGGGGTGTCCCTGCCGGTACTAGTAGATAGGGAGCTAGAAAAGATGGCGAGCTACGCAAAGACTCCCCACCCAGCGGAAAACACGAGGCTGACTTTCACAAAACTGGACTGCCAAGAAGACGTGGACCAACAAAGCCAGGAATTAAAAATTTATACCGACGGCAGTAAAATTGAGGGCAAAGTCGGAGCGGCACTGTCCATGTGGAGCGACTAAGCCGAGACAAAAACCCTCAAGCTGAAGCTGCCGTCGTACTGCACTGTGTATCAAGCAGAACTCCTGGCTTTGTGTAGGGCCACCGAAGAAATAAACAAAAGGCAAGAACTGACATACGGCGTATACAGCGACTCGAAGGCAGCTCTGGAGACAGTGACCAACACAGGCTCTACTCATCCATTGGCGGTCGAAGCCCGAAGAAATCTCCGCGGGGCCTTGACCCAAAATAAGGAGGTATCCCTGTTTTGGCTCAAAGCTCACGCCGGACTGCGAAGGCGCCACAAAAAAGCTGGAGGTGTCAGGCGCCCAGGTATTTCAGGGCGGTGCGGTGAACGAACCATCTAAGGCCGCGGTGGTAGTACTCGACGACCGACTCCGCGCGTCCATGGAGCCGGATTGCGCTGCTTACAACATGGTGGGGATCAGGATCTTTATTGGGGGCCTGTGCGTGGGCGCCGTGAGCGTTTACTTGGAGGGGGACTCCAGCTTGGACGAGGACCTTTCCAAACTAAAGAACATTAAGGCCGCGCTGCGCACTGACTACTGCCTTGTCGCTGGAGACGTGAATGCCAAAAGTCCCTGGTGGGGCAGCGAGGAGGAGGATAGCAGAGGGGCGTCGCTGGCGGAGTTTGCGGCGCAGGAGTCACTCCGGGTGATAAATGAGGGAACCACGCCTACGTTCTCGGCGTTTCGACAGGGTCGCCACTACAACAGCATAATAGACGTTACCATGGCGTCGGACCGATTAGCACCAAGGATCACTAACTGGAAGGTGGATGCTGACTTGTCGGACCTCTCAGACCACCGCCCCATTTCTTTCTGCGTATCGGCAGATAAAGAACTCACTGTGCTCCAAAATATATCAACCAAGCTATTCAACACTAAAAAGGCGGACTGGGAACTTTTTGATGACGAGCTGACTGCGAGCATGGACGAGCGTGGACTGACCCCTGAGAGAGCGAGGACGGTCTCGACGTCGAAAGATTTGGAGGAATTGGTGGAATCACTCACCAGCTGTATTAGGGAGGCCTGCAGGGTGGCGATTCCTGCAATGTCGAGCGGGAGACGACGGCCCCAAGCGAGTTGGTGGGCTCCTGGGATCGAAGATAAGAAGAAAACAGTGAACAGGCTGAGGAGCAGAATAAGAAACGCAAGCTCCGAACGACGGCAGTACGCAGTCGATCGATACCTGGAGGCGAAAAGGGCCTACAACGAAGCTATCTAAGAAGCTATCACAAGAAGCTGGAGGGAATTCTGTGGCAAACAGGAAAAGGAGTCAGTGTGGGACGGCATTTACAGAGTCATCCGTAAATGCGGGGCGATGAAATCAGACGAGCTGTTGAGGGACCCTGCTGCCCGGGACACTACACTAACTCCTATCGCATCGGCGCAGCTGTTAGCGGAAAGTTTTTATCCGAGGGACACGGAGGAGACCGACACCTCGGAACAGCGAGAGTGCAGAGCCGAAGTTGCGCAGGAATTCAAGTTCATAAATGAAAGGCCACTCGAACTCACAAACTTTACCGCTGCGGAGGTTTGGACGGTGTTGAGGAGGATGAACCCGAGGAAGGCCCCGGGGGAGGATGGCTTCACCTCGGACATCTGTTCGAGAGTGATGCAGAGGAACCTGGCACTTATGCTGTCCTTGTTCAATGCCTGTCTGGGGCTGGGCCACTTTCCACGCCTATGGAAGAGAGCAATTATCCGCATCATTCCCAAGCCCGGCAAAGAAACATATACCGAGCCAAAATCCTATACTGCCGGTACTTGGAAAATTACTGGAGAAGCTCTTTGCGACGAGAATGCTATGGACAATGGGAAGCAAGTCTAGGCTGATCCCCAGGCAATTTGGATTCATGCCCCAGCGCAGCACGGAAGACGCTCTATACGAGGCGGTGAACATGGTTAGGGCACTCAGGGCGCAGAGGAAACTTGTGGTCGTCATCTCCCTGGACATCGAGGGGGCCTTTGATAACGCCTGGTGGCCCGGAGTGTTGGGAGTGCTCTTGAGGAAGCGAGTTGAAACCTCAACCCTAAGGCTGATGTTCAGCTACCTCAGCGACAGGGAGGTGACCGTGCAATACGCGGGACACACGGTTACAACAGCAACCAATAAAGGATGCATACAGGCATCGACCTGTGGTCCCCTCCTATGGAACGCACAGCTAGATCCGCTGCTTGAAGTCGCTGAACACTTGAAGGCCCACGTTCAGGCGTTCGCCGACGACATTCTGGTTGTCGCTTCGAGGGGGACCACGGAGGAGGTTCGTTTAAACGCCCAGGAGGCCATCGCGAGTTGGGGGAACAGCTACAAGATGCGATTTGCTGCCCACAAAACTCAAGCTGTCCTCACCACGCGGAAACTAAAGGGAACGTCACCGCATCTGACGCTAAACGGCACAACCATCCGGTTCCAGGGGTCCCTCAAGGTCCTGGGACTCACGGTAGACCACCAGCTTAATTTTAGGGAGCATTTGGCGGGCGCACGCGGGAGAGCGGTAACGCTTTCTAAAAGGGTCGCGAGAACGGCCTCGGCGGGGTGGGGTTTAAACTCCAACGTGCTGAGGATAATTTACCAAACCGTGGTTGAGCCGACAGTCCTGTATGCCGCCAACGTATGGGCAGAGGCTGCCAAAAAGAAATATAACCGGGTGATACTGGAGAGAACGGCAAGACAATTTGCAATCCTCATCTCAAAGACTCACCGGACCACCTCGTTCACATCGGCAGCTGCCCTTTCAGGAATACTCCCTCTCGACCTGAGAGCACAAGAACAGCTCAAACTGTACGAGGTCCGGAGAGGGCGGCCTCTGCCTGAACTGCCTGACTACGACATGGAAAGGCGTCTCGGCCCGTTCGATTTGCCCCATCCCGCACTGAGGGGGGGGGCTCGCCTACCTGCGGGCGTCGTCGGTGGCGGACCTGGAGCAGCTGGATAAGGATGGAATGCAAATATACACAGATGGAAGCAAAATAGAGGGCCGCGTTGGGGGCGGAGTGACCATATGGCGTGGAGGACAGGAGGTCAGGCATGCTCGCTTCAGGCTCTCTGATCACTGCAGCGTGTTTCAGGCGGAACTAGTGGCTATAGTTAGAGCCCTCACGATGGCCCTCAAATCCCAGCCAGCGGCGCCCAGCGAACGGCTCCTCCCTTCGACAGAGTGCGGAGGGGCCGAGGATGCGTACTCGTCGCGTTGGGCGGCGCTGCAGTAGTTGGGGTGTACTTTCCGCGTAGCAGAAGCCTCGCCGAGTTCGGCAGTTGCTCACGGGGCTCTGGTGGCGGAAGTGCACTCCACCCCGGCTGTGGTGGCGGGGATTTCAACGCTCACTCACGGGCGTGGGGATCCCCGGCGACCGATAGCCGAGGGGAAATGGTGGAGGAGTGGGCGGTGTCCCAAGGCTTGGTGCTGCTGAACCGAGGGTCGGTCCACACGTTTGTGAGGGCCCAGGCCGGGTCCATAGTCGATCTTTCTTTCGCGAGTTCCGGCCTGGCCCCTCACATACACAACTGGCGGGTAGTCGAGGGGGTGGAGACCTCGTCGGACCATTGGTACATCCGATTCGACGTCGTTCCTGCTGCCTCGGCGACTCAAGTGGCACTAGACCGCCCCGTGGTAGGGGAAGGTCCGCGGTGGCGGCTCGGAACGCTGGACAGGGAGCTAGCCCGAGAGGCGGCTATCGTCGAGCGATGGGCTGCTGTCGAAAGCGGTCTGGACGTGGACGCGAGATGCGAGCGACTCGCTGGAGCGCTGACTCGCGTCTGCGACGCGGCGATGCAGAGGGCGAGACCTATCCCGCCTCGGAAGCAGGTGTACTGGTGGCGCCCCCACCTTGCCGGGCTGCGTACCTGGGAAGGTTATTGCCACTGTCATGCCTGCACTAGAGGAGGAGACGCTGTCCCTCATGTCGGAGTGCCTGGCGTCGGGGAGAGTCCCGCGACGATGGAAGACCGGCAAGCTCGTGCTTCTTAAAAAGGACGGGCGCCCAGCCGAGTCGCCGTCGGCCCGCCGCCCCATCGTTTTGCTCGACGAGACGTGCAAGCTTTTTGAGCGAGTGCTCGCTGCACGTCTCGTCGGCTACCTGGAGGGGGCGGGGCCCAATCTGAGCGATGGCCAGTTCGGCTTCCGTCGCGGAAGGTCGACTCTCGACGCAGTATCCCGATTGCGGGACAGCGTCGATGAAGCGGTCTCTGGGGGTGAGGTGGTGTTGGCTGTTTCGCTGGATATAGCAAACGCCTTCAACACCCTCCCCTGGGAGACCATTGCGGAGGCGCTGAGGTACCACAATGTCCCGTGGTACCTCAGGCGCGTCCTTGCGGACTACTTCGTGGACCGGGTCATCATCTACCCGGCCCAAGGTCCGGTGGTCCGCAGGGACATGTCTTGTGGTGTTCCACAGGGGTCGGTCCTTGGGCCGCTCCTGTGGAACATAGGTTACGATTGGGTCCTGCGCGGTGCTAATCTTCGGGGAGTCGGCGTACTCTGTTACGCCCTAGACGATACCCTAGTCACCGCGCGGGCCCCCACATTCCGCGACGCCGCCGTACTTGCCACTTGCGCCCATATGGGCGGAGGCCCTCAGCCCGGCGAATATCGCGCTGCTGCGGCGTCCGCAGCGCGCCATCGCGCAGCGGGCTGCACGGGCGTACCAGACCGTCTCCTACGAGGCGGCGTGTCTAATCGCGGGCAGTATCCAATAGGATCTCGAGGCCGGCGTCCTCAAGCGAGTGTACGTCGAGGGCTCCCTGATGCGGCGTGTACTTGGAGGTCGGCCGCTTCCGGAGGAGATCGATCGCTGGAGACAGTCGGCTCGCGATGATCTCTTCCGGAAATGGGCCGAGAGGTTAGAGGCGACCCGTAGCGGGTCGGTGCTCGTGGGGGCCGTACGGCCCGTCTTGCGTCAGTGGGTGGAGAGGGGTCATGGGGCTCCGACATACCACCTCACCCAACTCCTCACGGGTCATGGCTGTTTTGCCAAGTACCTGTGGGAGGTGGTTGGGGTGGAGTCGGAGCCCCGGTGCCGCAACTGCACCAGCGGCGACCCTGACACGGCCTATCATACCATGGCCGTGTGTGAGGCGTGGGACGAACAAAGGACGGCCCTCACGAGCACTGTTGGTGCGGACCTGTCGCTGTCGGCCGTAATTCCAACTATGGCCGGCAGCGAACAGTGTTGGGCTGCCGTCGCCTCGTTCGAACCTCGAAATGGACACCTCCGGCGAGCTGGTAGATCACATACGGGGAGCGCTGGACGCCAAAAAGAGCGGCATTCGGGTGGAGCGGCTGAGAAAGATACAGGACGGGAAGGTCGTCCTCAGTTGCTCCACCAGAACAGAGTTGGACAGGGTTAAGGCCAGTCTGAAAAACAACAACAAAATAACCTACGAGGAAGCCAAAAATAAAAACCCGTTGGTCGTTTTTTAAAATCTCCTCGCGCACAACACGGACGAGGAGCTAAAGGCCGCACTCCTGAGCCAAAAGAGTAACACATTGGGGGACCTGGCGACCGACATCAGCCAGGCCGAGGTCATGTACAGGCGCAGGGCTAGGAACCGGAATGAGTGCCACTTGGTGCTCAAGGTGACGCCCGCGCTGTACCAGAAGCTGCTGTCGGTCGGCAGGGTATACGTGGACCTCCAACGTATCAGGGTAGAAGATCAAACGTCCTTGATACAGTGCACCAGATGTTTGGCCTACGGCCACGGGAGGAAATTGTGCACAGAGGTGTCGGACCTCTGCAATCATTGCGGAGGCCCGCACCTGAAGACGGACTGCGAGCAGTATCAGGCGACTCAACCACCAACCTGTCGCAACTGCGTAAAGGCGAAGCTGAACGATGTCGCTCACGGCTTGTTCAGCGAGGTTTGCCCAGTGAGGAATAAGTGGGATGCGCTAGCGAGGACGGCCATAGCCGCTGCCGCCCCACAGGATGGCAACAACGCAGGACCGAGTGCACCGGACACACATCCGAGCGCAAGGTTCACACAGAAACGGGGCTAACTACACCTGCACCTGTAACAACAGAAGTAAAAATTGGACGATCTTTGATGGTAAAGAAAGCCAGTTTGAAAGTAGACTGGTCAAAGTCAGTAATGTCAAAAAATTTGTTGGTCATAAGTTGTATAAAATAGATAAAGAAAATATGCTTAACATATATTCTGAGAATATACAGAATTAGCATAAGTATAAAATAGGATAAAAATTAGTATAATGAAAGCTGAGAATAAAACCACTAAATTGTTAGTAATAAGTGTAGTGTAGATGTAGTATAAGTAGATTAAGAAACATGTAAATTGTAACCTCACGTAACACAGGGCACTCGAAACGGAAGCCCCTATGTTTTGTGTAATACTGTAAATAGCCACCGTATCGTTGAGCATCCCCAACTATGTATGTATGTGAAAAAACTGTAATATCTAATAGAAGTCTATAAATCTAATCTATGTATCCTGTCTAATGTTTGTAAATTGTAAATGTGTTTTGGAAAGGTCTCTGATCACGTCAGAGGCGATCCAGTCATATAATAAAAAAAAAAAACCTATCCTAACCAACAGGATGGGGAGGGGGTGTGGGAGGGATTTACAGAATAATAGGAAGAACATCAAAGAGGCAAGAGAACATCCCCCTGATTAGTGAGGGAAAAGTTTTAAGCGCGAAGCAGTCGGCTGAGATATTGGCGGACACCTTTTACCCGGAGGACTCAGAAAGCCAGGATGACGACGACCACCGAAGGACAAGAGCAGATGCCAACCAAGTAAACGAGTGGTTTCATGGTGAACAACATGACCCACTGTTTACTCTGGAAGAACTGAGAGCCGCGGTGGAAAGCTTCAACCCGAAAAAAGCCCCGGGTAAGGACGGTCTGACGGCCGATATTTGTTGTGAGGCGGTAGCGCACGATCCCGGAACATTCCTTGCCCTAGCAAACAAGTGCCTGACACTGGCTCACTTCCCGACTATCTGGAAGGAGGCAACAGTCATAGTCCTGAGAAAGCCAGGGAAGGGGGACTACACAAACCCCAAGGCGTATAGACCAATCGGCTTACTTCCTGTCCTGGGAAAAGTGCTAGAGAAGATGCTCATCGGGCGAGTAAAATGGCACACTCTCCCTAGACTCAGCACACGCCAGTACGGCTTCATACCCCAAACAAGCACCGAGGACTCCATCTATGACTTGATGAAACACATAAGATCTAAACTAGATAAGAAGAAACTCATAGTTATGATATCACTAGACATAGAGGGAGCCCTCGACGCCGCGTGGTGGCTAGGCATTAGAACACGACTGGCTGAGGAGGAGTGCCCGGTAAACATAAGAAGACTCGTGAACAGCTATTTACAGGACAGGAACGTGGGAGTCAGATACGCTGGACAGGAGCATTGGAAGAGCACAAGCAGGGGATGTATTCAGGGATCTATAGGTGGACCAACCCTGTGGAGTCTTCTCCTGGATCCCCTCCTCAAAGGATTAGAAAGACGGAAAGTTTACTGCCAAGCGTTCGCTGACGATGTGGCGCTAATTTTTGATGCTGATACTGCACTGGAGGTCCAAGGGCAGGCCAATGCCGCCCTCGCCTATGTTCGGGGGTGGGGTGTCAGAAACAAGCTGAAATTTGCACCGCAGAAAACAAAAGCCATGATAATAACAAGGAAGCTGAAATTTGACACCCCATTGCTGAGCATGGGTGGGGTCGGCATTGAGATGTCCAAAGAAATCAAGATGCTAGGTGTAACAATTGACGACAAACTTACCTTCAACAACCATGCAGCGCAAGTATGCAAAAAAGCATTAAACATATATAAAAAGCTCGCAACCGCCGCAAAGGTAAGCTGGGGCCTTCACCCTGAGGTCGTTCGAGCGATATATGTGGCGGCAGTGGAACCCGTCATTATGTACGCGGCAAGTGCCTGGGCAGGGGAAACGAAGAAGCTCGGAGTGC